CATGATTTTAAAATATTAACTAAAATCTTGAACTTGAGAAAAAAAATTATTTTATATGCTAACATAACATAATAATAAATATATATATATATATATATATATATATATATATATATATATATATATATATATATATATATATATATATATATATATATATATATATATATATATATATATATATATATATATATGATTGCACTAGATTGCATGTTGAGTATATGATTGCACGAGATTGCATTTTGAGTATATGATAGCATGAGATTGCTACTGAGATGTTAGATAGACTTGAGATTATTGAGAATTTAAGTATGTGAAAGTATGAGCTCGATGATAAGCTAGATAATTGTGAAAGCATGCCTATACGACAATTAGGTTGCAAGCATATAGAAACCCTGTTAAGCATGTTTAAGTGATGCTTAAGTGATTGAGAATGCTTGATCTAAGTATGTGAAACACATGTTTTCTAAAAGTATATTGTGATATCCCGAAAATCCAATCCTTAAATAGAATTAATTATGTAATTAATTCTAAGCCTTCTCATGAATTTCCCCTTCCAATTCTTTAATTGAAAGTCGGAGGACCTAAATTGACCCATCCCTTGGTAAATTGACTTATTCAAAAGAAAAAAGGACTTTGAGCTTTATAAGTTGTACATGGCCTTTTGTCTTCCTAGCCTTTTAGTAAGGGTATCCTTGTCTTTTCAAATTTGCTTGGCATTCAAGCCTTTCCCTAGCAAGATCACATTTCATTTCCCTCATTTGGCAAGACACTCTAAACTTTCCACCTTCTCTCTAGAACAGTAGTTTTCTTCCCAAGCCAAGTAAAGTCCACCTTCTTACTTGCAAGGAAACTTTTCAAGATTGCACCTTTCCACCATTAAAGCATTAGGAAAGGTAAGATCTTAGCTTAGCTAGTGTTATTGGTTAGTCTTTCATGGTCTTTATCTAAGAATGATTTTTCTTTGTGTGGTTATTGGTTTTGTTGAGAAGATTTGAGTAAGGAGGAACCCCAAGGAGAAGTCTAGGAGTCTAAGGAAGAGATTTGTGGTCTACAAAGGTAACCCATGCTTTACAAAACCTATTTTACACTTGTTATGATGATTTCTTGCTATTTTATGGTTGTTCTTGATGTTGTGAGTGATTTGATGCATTATCTTGTGTTTATGCATGTTTAGAGCTTGTATCTAGGGTTCTTAAATGCTATTCTTTGAGCTATTCCTGTGTTCAAGTCATTTCCTTGTTGAATGTGAGATTTGGGGTGTTTTGGACTTGGACTTGGCATTGTTGATGTTTTTCCCCGAAGGGAAAATGGTGGGTACAGGAGTGTACCCGTGAGCGGAACAGCGGGTGGCTGTCCACCCGTCATTCCACCCGTGGGTGGTGTGGCTTGTACAGGCGGGCAGAGCCGCGGGTGGAGGCCCACCCGTAGTTCCACCCGTTGGTACACATGAAGGGGGTTGGCGGGTGGTTACCCACCCACCGTTCCGCCCACTGGTACGTTGTGCTTTGGCCTCCACTTTGTTGAATCCTTGTGCAATTGTGTGTCTCACTTGATGTTTCGTACGTCTAGAACGGTGTCCTAAGTCTCCGTTATAAGATTGTGAGTCTTGAATCGTGCTTACGGTCTAACTTTGTGATTCGTACAATGTCTCACTCACATTTTTGAAGTCATAATAGTAATCCCTGGCGTTTCGCCCTTTCTGGCCGATGAACATCCTAGGACAACTGATACAACCTTCTCAAATTATTTGCCCCACTAAACCATTTATTTACTAATTCCCACACTTTCTTCACACTTTTACAATGTTGCATAGATAGAATTATTTTCCTATCAATGCAATTTATTATACGCGATAACATGGCTTTATCGTCTTTCTCCCACTCTTGGGCTTCGGTAGGGATAACCGGACATATTTTAGTTAAATGTCCATCTTTACCCATACCTCCCAAGTTAATTTCAACTAAAAATTTCCACTCCCCAAAATTGGACCCATCAGGTGCCAACACCATATCAATCAATTTAGATGGAGTTGACACCACCGTAATGGTCTTACCTTCTGCAATAATTATTAAACAAGAACCGACCTGGTTACGCAGCACATCGCGCAGCAGCCTTCAATTTTCCTAGTTCGAATTTTCGCATCACTTCTGCAGTAGGAGATGAAGACATCGCAGCCATAAAAAATCTCCTCAACACCGGGCTACACCACCACTACAAATGTGTCGGGCGTATAGAGAAGAGCCCAACAGTGCAAGCCGCGACCGGAGAAGACGCTGGAATAGTGCGCACGAGTCGGCACATGGCGTCGGAACCCTAGGACTGCAGCGGCGCGTGAGACCTCCGGTGGCTGCTCCGCTTCTTTCGACGGCGTCGCCTCCTCTTTCCGACCAAAGCCCACTACCCATACTCACCGCTCTGATACCATGTAGAACTTATGTAGTGAAGTGTCTATGTATTAAACTCGGCAAATGAATAAACTGTACAGGCTCCTATATATACAAGCTACCAGTAGGACTCAACCACTCATTTGAATTTCAAAATGAGTAGCTGAGAGTAACCTGCTAACAACCTCCTAACACGTCGGCTATATGAAATAACCGACATTGTATGTATATTTTAAAAAAAGAATAAATACATTACAACATCGGTTAATTCGTAATAACCGACGTTGTATATTTTTTTTTCTTTTAAAAAACATAAGTATACAACATCGGTTATTTGGTAATAACTAACATTGTAAGTTTTATTAATTAAATAAAAAAAATATACGATGTCGGTTATTTATTTAACTGACGTCGTATGTTTTCCATGGCTGCAAAACTCGGCTGCCTAGGCGCCTAGGCACTAGGCGGCACTCATCCTTGCCGTTTTGGCCTATACTCGGCCAAAACTCGGCCAGCCGCCTAGGCGGCCAAGTCGGCCAAAATTGGCCAACTCGGATGAGTCGGCCGATTTCGTCCAGTTTTGACCGATTTCGTCCGATTTTGACTAATTTCGTTCAATTTTGACCGATTTCGTCTGATTTCGTCCGATTTTGTCTGATTTGGTCTGATTCACTTATAAATTATCATTATTTCATTTATTTGGAGGTGTTGTTTGATTGAATGTTGAAAACAGGCTCATTAAAATTGTCAAACTACAAGTCTGTCACTATTTTTTTAAATTTTTTTGGTGCCCGCCTAGCGCCGCCTAGATTTCGCCTAGGCGCTAGGCGCTATCCAGCCGCCCGACTAGCGCCTAGCTCCTTCTGCAACCTTGATGTTTTCTAAACAATATCTCCCACATCAACGTCACCTTTTAACTGACGTTAATGGCCCTAAATAGCGGACGTTAAAGGCCTTCTGTGTAGTAGTGGTTGTGTGAAACTTAAGGTGAACCATTTTAAAACCTTAGGTGCGTGGTTTGTGTTCTTAAGGTGCTTTGTTGTACGCTTAAGGTGCGTGGTTTGTGTACTTAAGGTGCGCCATGTTAATGCTTAAGGTGCGTCAACCGCACAACTGCACGAGAAGCCTTCCCCGCACCTGAACCCTTGCATATATATATATATATATATATATATATATATATATATATATATATATATATATATATTTGTCATTAGGTATGCAAGAATGTACCACAATACGTTCAGAAATGCACTAGGGTGAGGTGTATTTGTGTGTTTGTCCCTGGTGTATTTTTGAACACGTTGTGATGCATTTATGCATACCTAATAGTGCATGACCACACGTCTTAGGGTTGTGGTACATTTATGTCCACGTTTCATCATAGTGCATTTTTAAACACGTTCTAGTGTATATATATATACCTAATGACGCAATCTGCTCGGCCGTACGGAAAGGCTTGTCCGATTAAACTGTATGTCTGTTAAAACGAATAAATCTGATATGAAGTTTGAACCAAGCGCCACGGCTCTATAGTCTATCCAATCTCTATCAGGGGTGTGGAAATTTTAATCTTCGCATACATTCAAAGTAGTTCTGCTGGAAATAATGTTTGAAATTAGTATACAGGAAAAACAAAAAACAAACACAAAACAAAAAAAAAAAAAAAAACAAAAAAAAAAAGAAAAGAAAAGTGGGGGGAGGGGGAAGAGGGACTTTTCTTTCTTAATATATAACGAAATCTACAAAATTGACCATTGGACTCTTAGAATCACACCGCAAGAAAGATTTCATGGTGTGGAGCCCGCATTCATTACGGTAATTCTTATTTCAAATTTCAAATAAGTTATAAATTTTGTTTTGTAAAACGAGTTTAAAATAATAATTTATTTTAAGATGCTATCACAATTTTGTTTCAAAGTTTATAGTTTTTAAATTTTCTTTATTTTTTTTTTATTTTTATTAGTTTACAAACATGACATTATTTATGCTTCATTAATCAAAATCATAATATTTTAGTTTATAATTTTATGTCTTTTTAATTTATTATAGCTAATTCAACAAATAATTTTACTAAACACATTAATTCGAATTAGTGAGGTTATTAGCCACTAGCTTTCAACTAACTTTTCAGTTAAGCATGCCTAACGGAGCCTTACACCATTATGCGAAGAAGCAACAAGTGACGTTGAACATATCATCAATCGTTACATCCTACACCACGGCGCACATAGCACTGTGCGCCGCGCGCCTCCCAAAACGACGTCGTTTTGGGGTAGTGTTGGGAGGCGCGGTAGGAAATTGCTGAGATTATGTGTATTTGTTCACAACGTTATGTGTATTTGTTCACAACGTTATGTGTATTGGTTCATACAGTTATGTATATTTTTTATACAATTATGTATATTCTTTTTATACAATTATGTACATCCGAATCAGAAAATTTGTGTGTATTATGTTAAGAGTTGATGTGTATTATGTTAAAAGTTTATGTTTATTATGTATTATGTTAAATTATGTGTATTATCTTTTAAAAAGAGTATGTATATTTTGTTATATAATTATGTACATTCATGTATAACATTATGTGTATTCTAGTATAGCATTATGTACATTCTTGAACAGCGGGTTTTTTTTTTTAAAGAAAAAACTATTGCCATTCACTGGGGCGGGAAATTTCAAAAAAAAATAAAATTAAAACGACGTCGTTTTGCATCTGGGCGCATAGTGCAACGCGCGCCGTGGTGTAGGATATAAATTGCCACATATCATAACGTATTGCAATCTTTATACCATGGATCAGGGTTCATAGTGCATTGTGGACCCTGATGCATGTGTATGTGTTTTATGTTGTGAGTTTGTGTCTTATGTTATGAAATTCTGTACCTTAAGAGTATGAATTTTATACAATTAGTATTTGTATCTTATGTATTGAATGTATGTGTCTTATGTTGTGAAATTCTGTGTCTATGAACACAAATATTTAATTATATGTACTTAAATAAGATTTGAAAAATAAGTAAATATATAACATTTGTATGTGTCTTATGTTGTGATTTTTTGTGTCTTGAGTTATGAAATTTTGTACTTTACGAGTATAAATTCTGTACCTCGTCATTTCTATTCAGGGTCCATAATACAATGTGGACCATGGTCCTTGATATAAATTGTAGTATTTATGTTTTATTTATTTTAATATATATCCACTAGTCTCTAGTTAAGTATTCGTAAAAACAATAGTCATGGTAAGATTAATGAATAGTCATCATTCAAAACACCTATATTTTACACGTAAATTGTGTACTTTGGTTTTTGTTGTAAATTGAGACGTCTTACACGTGAATCATTGTATCGTTTATATTCCAAGAATGTAATCAATATAATAGTATATAAAGATTAGGAGAGAAGACAAGAGGTATTGAGATTGAACCATCAAACTTTATTATTTATCTTTAAACAATATCTATAAGTTTATTTGCAACTTATTTACAACTATGCTCATGCTTTGTTAAAAACATATTACAAAAACTCATTGGAAAAAACTTAGTTGAGAAAAAGGGTACAGGATATATGTGTATTCATGTGTTGCACTAGTTGTCTATTTAAAACCTTTAATTAAGAAAGTTATTATATAAACAAAACTCATGTGTTGCAGTAGCATTTGCTACCAAAATTGTGAAAGTAGGTCACAAATGGTTTCTCACCCTTCCATAGTTCATAGGGTGTTTTCTCATGAACTTTGTTGATTATGGAACGATTTTGGGTGTAACATGTTGTGTTAACAGCTTCAGCCCAAAATCTTTTAGCTAAGCTGGAAAGAGCAATCATTGACCTTGTGGCTTCTTTGAGAGTACGATTTCTCCTCTCAGCAACACCATTTTGTTGTGGTGTCCTAGCAGCTGAGAGTTGATGGAGAATTCCGAATTGACCACAAAAACCTTGTATGCATGACTTGATTGACGAACTCTGTACCTTGGTTTGATATGATCTTCACTATGGTGGATCCCTTCTCATTTTGCAACTGCTTCAACTGCTCAGGCAGTAACCTCTCGGTTCATTCTTCTTCCTTAAAAAGATTCTCCAAGTATATCTAGTATAGTCATATACTACCACTAAAGTATACTTTCTCCCACTTATGCTTACTGGATCTACTGGCCCAAACAAATCAATGTGAAGAAGATTCAAGAGTTTAGGATTTGAATAAATGGATTTGGACTTAAATGAAGATTTGATTTGTTTTCCGTGTTGACAAGCTTCACAAACCCTATCTTTATTATAAGTCACATTTGGTAGTCCCTCTACCAAATGTCCCCTGGCTAGCTTGTTAATTGCCTTAAAGTTGAGATGATTTAGCTCGTTGTGCCATTCCCAACTAAGGTTTGAATTACCTTTAGCTACTAGGCATAAATTTGGTCTGGCCGAATCTTAGTCTACAACATACATGTTCTTTCTCCTCCTTGCTAAAAGAACAACTTCTCCAGACACCTCACATACTATACAACACTGATCTTTGGAGAATTCCACCTTATATCCCTTTTCACAAAACTGACTTGTGCTTAGAAGGTTGAACTTAAACCCTTCAACGAATGATACATCCTTTATTGTCAGTCCATTCTTTGAGACATCACCAATCCCTTTGGTTTGTCCACTTGTCTCACCACAAAAAATTACTTTAGGACCACTGACTGTTCGGAAACTACTCATATTTGACATTTCTCCCGTCATATGCCTTGAGCATCCACTGTCCACGTACCAAACAGTCTTGTTGTCCTGAAATCAAAAATTAAATTGATTTAGGTACTTATACCTTCTTGGGTCCTTCGTGTTTATTAGTGAGTCTAGGCATCCATTTGTACCTTGAGTCCACTAGTCCAAGCCTAGGTTTAATGTACCAATTGAAAGTATTATAATCATGAGGGGCATACTGACAAGTGTATTTTGTGTAGTGCTGGATGGAAAGTAGTTTGGAAATGAAGCTTCCCGGGATGTCGTTCTATAGGGATGACAACTTGGAGAGATTCAAGTGCGTGTATAAGTATTATATTGATAAGTATTAACTAGGCGCAAGAGCATTATTTGGAAGGTACAAGGCATGAAAGTAAAGCAAAGCAAAGTAGTAAGTAAACAATGAAATGAACGGGGAATTGGATAGGAACTTCTTAGACTCATGCATTCTATTTCCAAGGTTGAGTTGATAAGGTGTATGCATGGTTACTAATGGGAGAATTGGCCACAAACACTAAGCCATGCAAGACTTATCCTCTTAGACTTCATGAATTGTCTAAGGCATTTCATCGAACACCTAGTCTACATCTCCTCCCGGACCTAGCCCTCTCGGATCGTAGCATGGGAAAAGGAAACAAACAAGACTATATGAGATTTCAATCTCTTGCAAATCTAACTTTCTCACAATCCTAACCTATTGTTGACGTCAATAAAGCTAGGATCAAGCAAGGTTTGTTCACAACAAAGCTAAACCTATCATACACCATATTTCATCATAACCTAAAGAGGTTCCAATCCAATTCCTAGAAAATCTAGCCACACATCACCATTGTAGATTGAAAACAATTTGAATTGAAATCAAAATGAGAGATGGATAATAGAGATGGAAATTGAAATGTAAAAAGTAGAATAGTACCAATTCCAATCCAAGATTGAGTTTCAATCTACAAATTGAAGAAAGCTTGCTCCAAGAATTCACTTCTAGAGCTTTCTCTCTCTAGCGATTGAAGAACAATGTGTTTAGATGATGAACAAGATCCAAAACTACAATATAAGATGATGTCTAATGTCTAAAACAATAAGGGAAACCCCTTTAAAAGTGTCATTCCGCGCCCAAGTTTGCCCCCGGTCACAATGGTGGCCCTCTCATGTCTTGGTCACTAATCCTCTGCGTGTCCCTTGTCACGGTCATGATCCTTCTCGTGACAAGGTTTGAATCTTCATCACGAGCTGGTCACGATCGTGACCAAGACTCTGTTGAGCTCCCTTGTGCTTTTCTCAATATTCTCTTCTTTCTTGGCCTCAAATCATCCCTGCAAAAAGTCACAATGTATCTTTCCACACACTAGATGCATCATTTGTCGCAAAACACACCCATTTGTCTCATTTCCCAACAAAAGTAAGCCCAAGTATGTGCAAAAACTACTTGAATTCCCTTCTAAAAGATTACACATTTAGCACTTATCACCAGTTTCCACACTTTAAACTTGCTTGACCTTAAACAAGAAGAGCAATATCATCAATAAAGTCTATAAGTGACAAGAGTGTACATAGGAGTCCTCATTTCTAAGTGACAGAATGATTGCGGCGTGTATAAAGTCCAAATGGGTAGTGTCCCTCATTTCATGAAGCAAGTATGGTGAAACATGTGCACACTTTCAATGCCTTGAGAGTTAAAGGGAATAATGCACTCCATACGGTAAAAAGTTCAAATAAAGCTCAATAATGAAACTCTTCTCTCAATCATACTTCTAAGCAAGCAATTTCAAAATTGGGTTCACCTTCTATTTTTCAAGGGCCTTCAAGCCAAGCCCACTAGTGGGAATAATGTGCACAAGATAACCAAACACCCTCCAAAAAGGCCAAGATCCAACATGTAAATAAAGTGAGGGTACAACATGGGCATCTCCCCGCAATGGGCTTCACGGGCTCTCTTTTTTCTCAAACCCCCAGGATAACGTCATCAGGCAACCCGACTTCACATGGAGCTCCACGCTTTTTCGAAGACGGTGCAATGGGTGCCCCAATCCTAGCGGGCTGGCTCACCTCTTCTCTTTTTTTTCTCGTCCCATAGGATAATGTCGTTGGGATAACCAACTTCACGTAGAGCTCTACGCTTTTTCGACGACGGTGCAATGGTTGCCTCAAATCCTATCAAGACGGCTTCCCTCATATTTTTCCTCTCATTAGGGGTGACCATTTTTGTCTCCTTTGGCTCTTTTCTCTCTCTCCCTCTCTCTGATTTTTTTGAATTTTTCTTTTCTTCTCCTTGTCTACCCCTCATGCCTTTTCCTTAGGGGCAGGGAATCACTCAAGCTCACCAAAGGCTCACCTTTTGCCCAATGTCATACCAAGATTGTCCAAATTCCAGGTCTCGCCCAAATTATCTTTCTCAAGTTAGGTTGTACACACTCTCACTTCAAGAGATCCTTGACTAAGTTCCAAGAAAAATAAAAAGTGATGAACAACACACAAGCATGCAAAAATTTTAAAGCTACTTGGCCCTATTGCATCCTCTCCAAAGGCATAGGTAGCATTTTCCCTGGGTGTCCCAAGGGATTGACTTTGTTGCACACAATTTAACATACTTCCATCATAAAATGAACAACACCACACATTTCGATCCCATAGACAACTCAATCATGCCATCACTTAAAAATGTGAACTACAACATAAGGTGCACCAACTAAATGAAATTTAAAGCACAAGGTGCACCCTTTTTCACACTTTAAAAGAAACATTGTCATCGTTGTTATAAGCACAAAGACTCGGGGATATGAGACGAATGGGTGGCCGCAACATAGATATTTCCACACTTTAAAACAAGAAATGGGGGAAGACACAATGCGGACTTAGAATGAGAAAGCACCTTTTCCACACTTTAGAAGTGAGGCAAGGTACCAATTCAAGCTTAAGGCTCAAGATTCTTTCCCTTTGGTACTCCCGGATGGAGGTTTTGTAAGACGGGCACTCCTCCTTCTCTCGTGCTCCCGGTTGGGGGGTGGGAAGGGCTCATACTCCGAAAATGACATGGAAGAGGAGTTATCATCACCACCCTTGGCCTGGTGCTCTTCGTAGAGTTCCAAATATTTCATGTAATCTAGGTCTAGCTGATATGTTTTGACCCCCCCCCCCCCCTTTCTGGGTGTCCACTATGTTCATTGTTGATTTGGGGTTCATCCTCTTCACCCGAAGATAACTCTAAGGGATCATTATTGGCATCACCCACCTCATAGCCTCCCATTGCCGCCTTCCTCCTTCATAACTTCTCCAATCTCCCCTTCTCCATCACTCTTCTTGAGATCCTTTTCTTCTCACCACAAGGCTTCTTCTCCATTTTTCTTGCACAAAAACTCAAGACACAACCTTTTCAATGTATTTTCTTTCTCTTTGTATGTTAGAATCTCCATGCATTTGGTTATGAAGAGTGAAGACATATATAAAGACAAGTGGGGACCAAATGTATGGCTTAAAGCAAAAGATTCCCCTCATCTGATGGTCAAAAGTTGCTTTGGAGGGAATCTTTGCAGCAAAAAGGCAACTTGTTTCACATCAATGCACAAGGGGACAAGATTCCCCCTCACAAGGTCACTTTTTCATGAATTTCTGCGTAACATGCTGTCAGACCCCAGTCACGATCGCGACCAGGTCGTGATGTAGAATCAAACCTGGTCTCGAGAATAGTCACGATCGTGACTAAGTAGGGCTAGGCAAATCAGGGCTAGGCAAATCAGTTGAGGTGAAACCGAACCGAACCAATAACCCGATCGGTTTTCTGTTATTTATTTATTTTTTATTTATTTTTAATTTTTTTTATATTAATAAATATATATTATATTAAATGTTTAAGGTGAGGTTTGAACCCTTACTCATTTGATTATAAACTAAGAGCTTTACCCACTAAGCTATACCCACATTCATGTTTATATTCACATTTGTATGCTAATAAGGGTATACATTTTTCATTAAATATTGCACACTTCAAATATAATGAATAAAGTTATCCGTACTACATTCTTGTTAGACTAAAATACCATTATACCGTTATTACACCGTTGCTATTTAATTCTAAAGTTTCATAATTCTATCATTATTATCACACACACACACACACACACACACACACACACACACACACACACACACACAATAATTAACTATGATACCTGTTTCCTATTCTTTAATTATCATTTTATTAAAATCATTATATAATTACTTTAATTGTTGATTATATTTTAATTAAATTTCTATGTATATAAATATTATAACAATTAATAATTTTAACTCCTCAAGTCCTCAAATCTCAACTCCAAGTTGTAAGTCCAAACATTTGGTGTTTTAGTAATTTTTATTTTTCAAATATTAACTATAGATGAATGATTTTTCATTTTGTCATCAACAAAACACTTCAAGTGGTACTTCAAGTGAGGCAACTGAACAACCGGTCAGGCAAAAAAAGAAACGTTCAAATAGTAGACTTTCACCTAAACCGAACCGAAACCGAAACCGAACCGAACTTTTCAAACCGAAACCGAACTCTATTTTAAACCGAATGGTTTAATTTTTTTAAAACCGAAAAACCGAAACCGAAAAAAACCGAACCGAAACCCGAAGTGCCCAGCCCTATGACTAAGTTTGTTATGCCGAATCAGACCGGTTCACGAACTTAGTAACGATCGTGATGGAGTCGTAGTGCAGGATCAAATCGCACCACGAACTTCCCCACGCTCGTGACGGGGAACCTGTTCCAAAGTTGTCTAAATTTTTTGCATTTTTCACCCAATTTCCATGTGATCAAGGCATCCCATGCAATTGTAAGGCAAAAACCACAAAACTACAAGAAAAAAAAACAAGAAAATGGTTGAACTAAAAAAAAAAAACAAAAGAACAAAGCAAACGAAAAACCTTAGGTTGCCTCCTAAGAAGCGCTATGTTTAACGTTTTTAGCCCGACGAATATCTTCCATTCCTCTCTCTTTTTGAATCAATTTGACCTCTTTTTCTTTGTGTTTTTTTTTTTTTTTTTTTTTTTTTTTTTTTTTAAATTTCATTTTTTCTCTTCATTCCATCTTCTTCTCTCATTTATTTTTTTCTTCTTTTTTCATTTTTTTTCTTCTTTTTTTTTTTTCCTCTTTTGTCTCTCTTTTTTTATTTTTTTTTTCTATCTCGATTTTTTCCTTTCTCACTCTCCTACACTTCATCCCAAGCATCCAAATACATAACTTGCATCTCTTTTCTTGCTGGATCCGTGTCATGGTACTTCTTCACTTGTTGCCCATTAACCTTGAAAACTCACATGTCCGGATGTGTTATTTCCAATGTCCCAAAAGGATAAACATTCACCACTTTGAACGGTTCGGACCATCAGTGTTGGGAAAATCCCACTTCATGCGACAATGAAAAATCACAGAACCGACAGGAGCACAAACACAAGATGATACACAATAGCCCAAAAATAAATATCAAACACAAGAACACACGATTTACGTGGAAAACCCCAAATCGGGGAAAAAACCACAGGACCACCACCAACCAAATAATCCACTATAATAAATCTTGGGTACAAAGTTTCAGGCTACCACACGAGCCAAACATCCACAAATCATCAAATACAACAATTCTAGGCCAAAGATTTCTATTATATTCCACAGGCCTAAACAGAATACCAACTCGTACTTAAAATATTCAACCACCACAAGCAAGATGAATAGAATACAAATAGTATGAGAATACCCAAAAGATGCCTGGAACAAATAAGCTGACCTCCAAAATATTTGATGAATAAACCACCCAAGAATATGGCAAACCCACAGCAACGATCTCCTCTTCTCGCTGCCGACGGAGAACAACCCAAAAAAATCCCTTTTCTTTTGCTTAACCTATTCTGCCGAAAACAAAAAAGGGAATAAAACAAAAAAGGAACCTTTTTCTTTTACTGCTCTCAATGCCGCACTGCTGCCAAGAACATATATAAAATATATATATGTTGAAGATTGAAGAATGAATAAAAAGGAAATTTTGTTTCCTTATTCCTGTTGCCGCCTCATCATAATCCCTAATTCATCCAATATTCCTAATTAAATATTATTATATTATATAAATATAATAATAATAATTAGGGCTCAATATGAGAGGAAGTCCAACAAAAATATAGTGGATACAAATTGGCTTGGTCCAAACATGAGCTATTTACCACATAGGAGGGAAGCCCAACCCAACAAATCTCCCCCTCCCGACTATGTGGAAGATATCGCCATCCCGGCGATAGAGCAACAATCTTCAAACTTCCCTCTCGGCAATGCTTTAGTCATCATGTCAGACCCATTATCATCGGTATGAATCTTTTCAAGTTCAAGCATCTTGCACTCTAAATATCTCTAATCCAATGATATCTCGTGTCAATATGTTTTGACCTGTAATGGAACGTTGAGTTCTTTGCAAGATGAACTGCACTTTGACTATCACAATAGAGCACATATCTGTCTTGAACAAACCCGAGCTCTTGAACAAACTTCTTCATCCATAGCATTTCTTTACTGGCCTCAACAGATGCTATGAACTCAGCTTCAGTGGTAGACAAAGCAACACACTTTTGCAATCTTGATTGCCATGAAACTGCTCCCCCTGCATAGGTAATTAGATAACCTGAAGTAGATTTCCTGGTGTCAATGTCCCCGGCCATATCTGAATCAGTGTACCCGACAAGAATAGGTTTCTCTGTACCAAAACACAAACTCAGACTTGAAGTACCCCGAAGATATCTCAGAACCCACTTCACAGCATCCCAATGTTCTCTCCCTGGATTTGAGAGAAATCTGCTAACAACACCCACTGCATGAGCAATATCTGGTCTCGTACATACCATGGCATACATCAAACTACCAACAACTGAAGAATAGGGAACTCTTTGCATTTCTTCATTCTCTTTCTCACTAGAGGCACATTGCTTCTTACTTAACTTGAAATGCATACCAAGAGGTGTATTCACTGGCTTAGCTTTATGCATACTAAATCTCTCAAGTACTTTCTCTATATACTTCTCTTGAGATAACCACAACTTCTTGT